ATTGTTTTTTCGAATTAGAAGGATTCTTCTTTGTGAGAGTTTTCCTTCCCTCTAAAGCTTTTTCTCGTATCTCATCTTCTACCACAGTATTCACAGTTCTTGAGATCATCTTCTTCAATTTCTGCGCTTCCTGTAACTTTGCCTTCTTAGGTTGAACAGGGGCGTCTTCGAGAAAATAATAATTCATATATTACTTATCTTAATATTAGAATATCGTTCCCTTACTACAAAAGTGACACAACCTAAAAAATTAAGTTTTACACAAAAAAGGGAAAACTGAATAGAAAATTTACTCAATTAAAAACACAAGTGCAATTTATGGATTATGAAGTCCAGTTAATTTACTTTTGAAGATTAATAGAATTGTTACTACTCATTCATAATAATTAAAAATAATTAAATAATTAAAAAATAATAATTTAAAAAATTATATTTCTTGAGTTGTGTCAATTTTGAAGTAAGAAGATGATATTGTTATAGTTTGATTCAGAAAAACTTGTCTTCTCATTATTACTTACTTCCACGTCTTTGGATAGCAGGGCCCTTTTTGCCCTTACCTTTATTGGTTTTCGTCTTTACTGAGGTTGGCAACTTTGTCTTCACTTTAAGCTTTCCTTGTGCCATTTTGTGTGTTTTATCACTTACATATAAATTCAAATTTGTAGATTGTTCACACGCTGCAAAAAAAAAAGAGTATATAAACAGTAGACATAAGCAGAGAGAAAAAAATCTCTAATATATTAGATTAATTAACTACATATTACTACAATTATAACATTATGCATAGCAGAAGTATAAATCAATTTATAATGTAATTTCTTTATACACAAATTTAAACAAGATTAATTGTAAATTTACATTACATTTTTCTAGTAATTGAAATTTATGCACTTTTTTTATAATTTACCTTTGGGTGAAAGGAGTTGAAAAAACCTTCAATTCCTTTTGATTAGCACTAAATTTTTGCGCACTTATGTACATAGGTTATGTCACATTACTTAAGGCTGATTTACAATTTATATAATATCTAATGAGAGTTTTGCTTTACATCATCACACTAGAAAAAGCAAATCTTTCATTGGATACCGTTCATCATATTCGGTAGCAATAAGCTAACATGTCGTCATTGTCGTCAACCAATCACAGAGTGGCGGAGAACAGCGGGAAGGGAAGCACAAACTGGCACAAAATGGAAGAAACGCGGATACGAAAAATTTATGAAAGTTTAGACACAAGAAAGATGCGCGTAACGATATCATAAAAAGACATTTTCCTATATTCTTTCACTTATTTTTACTATAAAATAAAAATAGTTCATCCCTTTTAGAACTGTAATATGTAAAAATTTCCTTTTCTTTGTATTGTATCCTTACTTTTGTTAATATCATTAATTGTTCATATTATCATTATTTATTATTGCAGAATATAGAGTATTCGCAAAAACCAATACTAATTAAATGCGAAAGTAGAATGTTTCATTGCGTGTAATACCTTTCAAAGTATTTTTAAGGTACTTTTTTATGTCGACGTTCATTTTTAGCGTTAAAACAAGTGATCAAAAATGCCACGTAATATTCGTAAATTTTGATCATTTTCACTTATTTAATAGCAATAATATGAAATTATATACAAAGAAATTGCACATAATTGAGCGAGAAGTTACGTCGAACACAGTATAGCGACAGCAATGACGGCGTCGGCACGCTAGGAGTGGAGGAGGAGGACAGGAGGTAGGCTATACAGCGGGCGACGGGGATCGGAACGTGACCTACGCAGGAGATGTCGACAAGATGACAGCGGCCGTATGACGACGTTGGTTACGCCGTTGTCCGCCCGACACGACAGAGTCGAGGATACGTGGCTCCGCGTCAGGAAGCGGCAGCTACGGTGAGTGCGAACGAGAAGAGAGAGAGAGAGAGAGAGAGACAGGAAGATAGAGCAAGAGACTTGACGTCGTCGTCGTCGTCGTCGTCGTCGTCGTCGTCGTCGTCGTCGTTGTCGACGACGGTACTGGTGGTGAAGGTGCCGCGCCCCCGTGCGATGCGCACGTCGGCGCGGTGAGGAGTGGACGGTGGGATCGTGAGATCCTGAGGAGGACTCGCCGTCGACTCACGCACACCCGCGTCCGGAGGCATGAGTGTGTTTGGGGATTTCCAGCGTGTCTGGGTGCAGCGGTTCCCGGACAGCGCCTTGCCGGCCGCTTGGGAGGAAGATGTCAGAGCGAACTTGGTCAAACACAAGCAGAAGGTAAGTTTGAACGATCGATGATTCTCCTCTTGGGCATCATAGTGCAGAAACGTATTGCGTCGACGATTGATCGAAGTTGCTAATTTTTATCGACGGGTCTTGCCGCGAGGACCGCAGGTGTGCTTTGGCAAATAATTATTGAGTGAAAGAATAAGGATGCATGAAACCTGCAGTCGTATGATTGGTGATAGTGTCGCAATGTATTCGCCAAGCGTTTATTAGTCACGTGTGAGTGATCTACTGTGTATGCCTGTGTACGTGTCGCAAAAGAGGTTTTATTTCGTTTAATTGACATCCTGGAGGGGTCCGATGATTCATCACGTAAGCCAGAGTGGCCGAGTTTTTATTTTATCAGTCTTTAATCAAGTTCCTGGAAGAACTGGAAATGAATATTTTAAAGTAATAATACAGATGATTATCATAGAGTCTGGGATTGAAGAGGCAACCTTGCGTAACGACTGGGTTATGACTGTAGTGAAGTGTCGCAATGTTTACTAAGTATTTATTAGTCAGATCAGAATTTATGTGTGTGTACATAATTCAAGTAAATAGCGAAGAATTCTCTGAAGAAACATTTGAAACGCTGATAAGTACGGAAGAGGAAGCACAAGGAGAATTTAATTTCTTCGTTTAATAGAAACTTAGTCATGTATAATTCAATTAACACCGTGTTCACATGACTTGATGACTCATCGAATTAATTGTCTGAAATCTGTCAATGACATAGCACTTGTTATATTATGAGTTACATTACTGTCAATGTATTATCATTCCTTTTTAACATTTAAAATGAGATCGTAAACGAATAAGTGAAAGCAGAAAGAATAGTAAACATTGACTTCCTGCTTACAATTCAATGAATCACGGAGTTATCTCTGTTGTGTTATCGGAACACCGAAAAAAATTGATTATAATTATTACATTAGATCATCTTAAAAATTCGTAGCATTATGTATTACAATTTATTTTTGTTTAAATATTATTAAAAAGTTTGATGGATACTTTATTTATAAAGTAGGAAATTATATAATTACATAACAATTCTTTTTTTTAATATTAAAGTATTTAAAATAAAATAAAATATTTTTTCATAAGAAATAATTTTAAAATGTAAAATAATTAAATTAAAAACGTGCGGGATTTATTTTCTATAAAACTATAGAAATTAGAAATCTTTCGAATATATCAAAGCACGCGATATTTTTTTTTTGTATATATAGGTGACAGCTTTGAGAGAAGAGCTCGAAAAAGAAGAGTTTTATGTGGAATATTTAGAAAGATTGCTGGCTGACGTCGAGCGACACAAACAGCTGGCTAACAATACCAGCGTGAATACGAATACGTCTGAAATTAAACAGGAAGCGGCGACGGAAACGCAGTCTCAACAGGATTCTCAAATATCGGAGAATAGCTTGGCGGATTCTCCGAATTCACCGAATTCTCAGAATGTCGCTCCTATTTTGACGGAACGGGAAGACATCAGCAAATTTCAAGATAAGTGCGTGTCCGAACTGAGCTCGACTCTCAGCACAGTTGGTAAACGACCCAAGAGCGAAATACCAAGGAGTCCCGAGAAAGTGCCTGAACTTAGAAGAAACAGTGATCCAGATGTGCCAAGTAATTATGTTACAGTGATTGAAGTTACCGGAAGTTCAAAGAAAGATAAAAATGAAGAATCTCTCAAGGAGGAAGATGAGAAAGGTATTCTCTTTCATACATGTTTTTATTGAGCTTTTGGAGTTGCATAATCTATATATGTAATCATTAAAAGAAAGAAAATTTTAAAAAATAAAATGAATTTTAATCTCATTATCTCATGTGAGTTTAAAGTTAATAGTTCAATTTGTTTTTAAAGTTTAAAGTTTTATAAAAATTAAAATTGTCATCTATTCTCATCAGTTTTACATCAATTTTATGTATATTATAAATTATTTTATGACATATAAAATTAAAAAAATAATTATTATTATTTGTTCACTAAATAGACTTAGAAAAGGCTATCAACGAAGATGGCGAAGATGGGGATGCAGAGGCATCGGAGGAGGAGCCTTATTACGATTCAGTAGCCTTGGACCAAACTGGGGAATATGTTTACATTGATGCGCGCGTTCCCTCTGTCAACAGTAACAATGGCAATAGCAAAGCGACAACTCGAAGACCACCTTCGCTGCCAGATTCTCCGGGCAATCAGAGTAATTATGTCAACATCGATTATTTTATACAGTAAGTCGTTTGTTATATCTTGTTTTATTTTGACACATTGGATCTACGGGGAGTATGAGCGTCTTAATTACATTATTTTTTAAGTTATAATGTTAATATTTATTAGTTGAATTCACACGCGAGTACTCCCGGGATTAAGATATGGAATATGTATAATTGTGTACGTTATCTTCAGACATAGAGCAGCGATGGACAGTGAAGATGAAGAAGGTGCTAGTCCGGCACCTCCGATCTTGCTGCGAGCTCTCAGCACGGACAATGAAACTGGCAGCAGTGACGCCGAACCGCTAAGTTTGAGCGAGGGTAGCTTGGAATCACCGACCCCGACGACGCCGCGCCGACAAGAAAAGAGCAAGGAGCGCGAGGATGACAGGACATCGATGGTCAAGTGTATTGTGAACTCGGTAGTGGAGAGCGAGGCTGTATATGTGGAATGCTTAACTGTGATGTTACAAGTATGTAACTTGACATTCTAAGTTCTTGTTAAGAATTTATTCATAATGATTTCCTGCCTTTGCAGTATATGAAAGCTATTAGAGCAACTTTAACAACATCTCAACCAGTCATTTCGGAAGAGGAGTTTGGCACAATGTTCTACAAGATCCCGGAACTGCATGCTCTGCATCAGACATTTCTGGATGGTCTTCGAAAGAAGACGGAAAAGTGGGATAGTAAAACTACTATAGGAGAACAATTTAAAGTAAATATAATTAGAGTAAATAAGACGAATGAAAGCTGTGAAAAATTGTAACGTTATATTCATTGATTTCAGATTATGGCCAGTAATATAGGATTATATGGTGCGTTTTTACACAATTACGCTCGCGCGACCGATACTGTGCGACGATGCTCCGCCCATTCCACTCAATTCGGAGAGATCACTAGAGATATAAGACTCAGAGGTTTTCCAAAGGGTCCGGGTTTGTCTCTAGAAGATTTGTTACATAAACCAGTTGCTCGAGTGCAAAAGAACGCTTTAGTTTTACATGTAAGTAACTCGTCACACACACACACATATATATATATATATATATACATA